TTGGTCATAATTTTGCTCTTTGATAATTTTCCATTATATATATATATATATATATATATAATATTCCTGATATTTTTATGTGTCCACAAGCAGTCGTTGTCGCCTTTTGTCATTAGTGTCTGATTAATATCCGTCAAAATAACAATAAAATCGTTCCCTGCCGATGGTCCGACCAGATAAAGGACGGTGTTAACGGGCAACACGATGGCATAAATCAAATTGTATCCGATGGACTTTTCCACATTGAAAATGATTGCCGAAGATCACGTCACTCGTCGAGCATGTGTCGCAGCTCTTAGCTTTCGGAACATACGCCATCTAATTTGACGACCCTATCCTTCTCACAAATTATAGAAGATAATATCTGAAAATGGTTTGATGAGTTACGATGTGCATCGCCGATATCAATTTTGAGAATGGTTTGTCGAAAGCTAATATTTCGTGCCTCAGATCAATATTAAAATTATTCTCCTGCTAATGTCCTTACCTAACAAATTGCAGTACTCTTATTGGAAAAGGCAATTGAACAAAAAGTTTATAGCAAAAAATAAAAATAAATAAAATCAGAAACAGCCGACGTATTTTTTTCATTAACACACAAAATATTTTCAATGCGAAATATATATGTATTTAATTAATTTTGTAAACGCTGATCCAATTCTTAAATTGCTCCACAAACAGTTTTCACAATGTTGTTAAAAACATTTTTTTCAAAAATAAAAAAAAACATAAAATATTCCGATACTGCAAAAATATCTTGTCAAGTCATTTAAATTTCATTTATAACAGATTTTTTTATTAACATTTTCTACTCTCAATTATTTTCGACTGATTGAAATAGACCATTACTCGGGTTTCAGCTTTCACATTTCCAAGTTTGTTTCAGTTTTATTAATACGAAAGTTAATGTATATATACACAAAGTTTTTAATCGTAAAACACATGTGTAACTAAACTATAGGTTTCGTATAATTTAAAGTTGCTAATAAAAAATCTTAAATTCACACGTGCGGAAAGAGCGGTAGTCGTTTCGTAGTCAGCTCGCTCATATTAACCGCAATTCTGAAATTAAGTGTTATTTAACTAGAAAGCATTTAGTTTTGAGACCATATGTTTAAATGGAAATTGAAAATAAAATCATGAAAGGGGAAAAATTAGCAAACAATAATTTGAAATATACACATTACAGAAGAAAAGAAAATCGTGCAATTGATTGAATTTACAACTAATTTCTTTCTTCTTTATCTCATCTTTTTCTCTTCTAAATCTGATTTCTAATTCTAATCTTGCTTTTTTTCTTACTTTTATTTTTATTCAAATTCAACTCAACAATTCATATTTTATTTAATTTCAAATTAACTATTTTTAAATTACATTTCTATGCAATTTCACATCATCGAATCAAATACCATTCAATTTTAACCCAAAATTTCAAATTCCACGTCATTTCCAAGGATCGATCTGAGGATCGCTGGCGCATGAGTTGGTCACGCTACTGACTGAGCTATTCTTTCCGCTACACTGAACATTTTATAAATTTACTAGTATATATTTTGATACCGTGCAATAATATATCAAACTTTGATCAATATTAGAAATACAATCAGCGTAAGATTTTTGCTTGAACATTTGAAAGCTTTCGTTGGTTTATCCAAAGTAGTAGATACCTACTACACAGTCCTATAAGAATAGTCTTTTCATTAGACTGGACACATTAGAATCCGACTAGATTCACCAACGTCCAATCTTTCAATATTCAGTCATTTTTCTACAAAGATTTCTGAAGCTATTTAAAATTAAACTCCGAATCAAAGACCATTACCATTGCAATCCCAGAATAGTTATCCCATTAAAAAGGAAGACTTTACATTTCGATTTGAAATTATTTACAATTTCAACAAGACGTGTACATCATCGGCCATTACTTATTTCATGTGGATTGACATGCACGATAACTGGGCTCAATCGTCGAGATGAGCAGAAGAGGCACTATGTATATTTCAATCAGTACACGCATTATGATACGCTCGAAGAATAAACTAGTTCTGGTATTTCAACATAACAAGATGAAATTGACAAATTGAAATATGCCATCGTTTGTAGATTGAAAATGAGCAGTATCAAAATGAATATCCTCTTGGAAATTTTGTGTCCAGGACACAGAAATTGGTAAAATTCTATGGATTTTGACAATAAACTTAATTAAATTACTTTAAACGCGTTTACACACTTTTACTATTGTCCCATTTAACGCTTTTGCTGCGGTGGCATCTTCCACAGGAGTGACACTGCTGTACGAGCCAGCATGCCACTCAAGTGTTTGTTATACACAGTATTTTGATTTTTTTCGCATAAGAATTCTAAATAATTCAACTCAGAGTGATTTTGAAGCAAAAGTCGACTCACTGGAAGTCGTCTAAAAACGACTCCCATACTTATAAGTCGTCTAATATAGTTCTATAGTTTGTGTCAAATGTAGAGTGCAATAATTTTTCGATACGATTTATATAATAGGATATTATAATAATATTTTTCTCATCCATTATAATCGTAATTTATAAACGCTTCCTCGAACTGTATGACCGCAATGATAACATCGATTGCAAACCATTGCAAAAAATAACATAACATATAACTAACAATCACATCACAATGATGATAATTGAATATGAGTGAAATGTGGTCACATCCGAAGTAACAGATGTATAATACAAAATAATATTCGTCTGCTCGAACATGCTGGGTAATTGCTAAATGACGAGCAAATGCAGAAACGCATTAGCTGTATGGTCAATTGTTTCTTAAGAATTCTCATAGAATGGCTGATCGGATCTCGCAAAATCGCCAAATTTAATGATAGTCCACGCGATGATAACAATGGCCAAAATTTTTTAAAGGCAGTCACGAAAGCCAAGTAGTATTGCTAGGATACGTTCTTCGGTAGGAACCGATGGAAATAAACGACTTCCTGTGCGTTTACTAATCATTCTTCATCTACAATACATAATTCGTGGCACTGCAATCATGCATCGGTTGTATTTACGACCAAATGGGAGGATCATACTTTTAAAAAAATGTAGCAAAGCACGGATAATATTAAATAAATTTCCGTTGCATTATTACTCATTGCATAACTTTCGTTGAGAAATAATCCGGAATCCATTTACAAGAGCTTTGATAGTTGATCAATCGCTTCGTATCATTTAATGCGGAAGACTCTTTTTGATATTAATGTTTCGATCAAATCACATGGCGTTGGTCCTTTGTTTTCAAACTGATAGCATATAACCTTTCATTTAGTAAAGTTCATTTGTATTAACGGCATGGCAAATCATGGCTGTTCCATCGTAGATACAATGCTATCAATTATCATGTTTAGATCGATAATAGTATCTCGTATCAAAACGTTATTGATACGCGTGAACGATCGGTTAAGAGTCGTTAGCTAACGCAATGTCCTAATGAACACTCATTTAGAACCTCGTGTGAAATTGATACAGATTAGAGATATAATATAAACAGACTTGACATGGAAAACAATTCTCGAAAACAATCTTGATGAGCGGAAATATTTCGTCATTTTTCAAAATATCACACCCGGACGTCCAATCACTGGGTCGACGTTCGAATTAGACATTCTAAGTACCACCAAAAATTAGCTGATGTTCTAAATGAAGTAGATACAGATATTAAAAAAAAAATCAAAATATAAAACTATGTCTGGGAAGTTATATATTTTCTTACTTTATTTTTATTACAGATTTTCATTATTTTCTAAAAAAAATCTGCATTGTGTATATACCATGCAAGTTGACAAAGAACAATGTGCCTGTAATAATGATCGATTTTGTTGACAACTATGTCTGATCATTCAGTCGAAAAAACTCTTTTTACATTTAATTTTTCTAAGTTTTCGTTCATCATAATTGATTGTCAATATTTGTCGACACGTGTTTTGTGGATACATTATCGAAAATAATTAACGCGACCTATATGAGCGGATGAGGTCCCATGTTCGGATTGAGCAAATGATGCAATTTACCGAAAGTGATTATGTGGACATTGTCGGCAATTAGCACTTATTTTGTGTGACGCAAATAAACTTGAGAAAAATATAATTTAATAATGGTATACCTGTTTTGAATGTTTAAAGCTACGTTTTAATAATTATTTTTCTAGACAAACATTTCATAATATTTGATAAGTATATAATATTTTCCAAATAAGGATGTATTTTTTCATTCCATAACGTAGAAAAATAACGTAGATATTATGCATTATTAGTGCTACGTAGCGCTGTCGTAGCATGCGATTCTTAAGCAGCGTAGCCACGGCATGCACGCCGCCCATTATTCAATGCATTCATGCTTTTATTGTTAATATGTAATCAGTATTTTACTGAAGAACGAATGAATACGATCGATAATGTGAAAAACATTCGCTTCTCAAAGAAAATAGGTTTCTAAGTTGATTTGATAAAAAAGGATTTGAAACAGTTCGATTTAATCTTCTGCTATCCCAACCATTTAACTAGTCAAATGTAATCGGAAGACCTGTCCACCATACCAATTTTTGCAACAATACCAATGATTTAATAATATACTCTGATCAAATAATTGCTTTCAAGATTACTACTTTATGTAAATTTTAAATAATTCAATAACCTACGGATTAATATCTATTCAAGCATGTCCACGCAAAAATCTCGATGCGTCTGGTAATGAAAATTCATTTCATTGATATAAAATAAATATACGAATAATTATGGAAGCTATGCCGAGGAGTATATGTGTGGTTTTCTGATACGAAGTACTTTATCCATAAATAATGCAAACGCGTTGCGTTCCAATTAACAGTTAATTATATGCGTTAGCAATAGATTTACCGCAATGCCGTGAATTTGCCACACGATCAATAAAATAAATTATATATTGTAATTTTAACCAGCATGAACTGATAGTTTTCATTCTTATTAATGTATATTTTTCCTTCTATTACAGGACCTCGATCGAGGCGTCAGAAAAAATCTCAATCCAGTTCCTCAGGCAATACAAGCTCGGATGAGAAAAGGCCCCGAACGGCATTTAGTGGTACCCAATTGGCAAGGCTCAAACACGAATTTGCTGAAAATCGGTATCTGACAGAAAGGAGAAGACAGCAGTTAAGTGCCGAACTTGGTTTGAATGAAGCACAGATTAAAATCTGGTTCCAAAACAAAAGAGCAAAAATCAAAAAAGCATCTGGCCAAAAGAACCCACTAGCCCTCCAATTGATGGCCCAGGGTCTGTATAACCATTCCACGGTCGCATGTGATGAAGATGAAATGTGTGCGAATTAAAAAAAAAATTGATGGCATAGATGCAACAACCAAAGTCTAAAATTACCCAGAAAGACATTGAGGTGTTACTTTATTTGAGTTTAGTGATGTGGAGGTTAACTTGACTGAATTAGTTCTGTATATTTTGAGATATTAATAATATTTCATTATCAATAGAAAACATATACCTCTTTTGAGTATATTATATTAAAGACTGATATTGTGTTCTATTATAAACTACGCAGAATTACTCAAAACTAGTAGTTCCAAATAGTATTTCGTTAGAAAATGTAAATAGTAGTCTTAACATATATGAAATTTATGCTAAATAGATATATGAGGTTAATGTATTTAAATCGTCTTAGATTAAAATCGACTATAGCTTATAGTGAAAGGGCTTACAGTGCAATTACATGAAATATATTTTCACATATCGGAAAAATATCCTTATTAGATAGTTAAAGACGTTCGAAGAGTGAAAACGATTAAAATTACGCACTTCTAAAATTTAGGGAATTAATTTGTAAAAACTTGATACATACTCCAAATAATTATAATCATATTTATGAAGTAACCGTACCACAAAGATTCAAAAAAATCTGATGTTTTAAGAATGTTTTATTGCATAATTGAATATTGTTTGTTTTGCAGCCAAAATTCTTGAAAATTTTAATATTTTCAACAAAAAAGAATTTTTTTTGTCAATTTCTTGAAACATAAAATAATTAAAAAATAAAATTGTGCGTAAAAAACAAAACATCTTTCAGACATATAATTAAGAAGTTATTTCTGCTCAGAAATCGTATAATAATTTTACTATGATAAGTAAAACTGTTACATATTTTTAAAATTCTTAGTCATAAGTGTTAAAATGTATATATTTAATAATGTAAGACAAAATCTTTAAATTTCAACAAAATCTTAAATTAATATTTGTACAAAAAATAAGATAATCTTGTAAATTCGAATGAGAAATTGCGAAACCTCTTGATTGATGAGATTATTTTATGACACGAAATAAGGAGACGAACTATTAATAAGCATGGGCGTTGGTGGAAAATTTCGGAAATACAGAGCAGGACTGAAGTAAAGGATCTATACTTAGCCAATGTCAATGCAGAATATAATATAAACCACTTCAATTAGCATCAGCACTTACTTGACGAGCACCAGTAAATCATTTCAAATTTATAATCTGGTCACTCGTTTTTCTAAATTTTCTACCAGCGCTCGTGGTAATAGATTTGCAGTGGAAGTTAAATTAATAAAATTAAATGGGCTCTATCCACGCCACAGGAAATGAAATTCTGATTGCAGATGGTATTTCCAATTAATATCTATAAATACGCCAACTGATATATAGGTACCGTAAATGCAAATAGATTTCCCCGTGCTCAAGACGGAGGTTAATTCGTGTCTAAAGTATTTATTGACCTATTCCGTAGAAAAACTTCAACTGGCGAATTTTATAATTGAAAACTTTTGCCATTTGAAATATTGTATAGAGAACATATATTGTTAATAAAACTGTACATATTTTAAATATTATTATATTTTCGTTATAAATGTTCTATGTTATGTGTAATTTTTATGCGAGAATAAAAAGCTTATTGTGATATTATTGAAAAAACTGTTTACTTCATCAATCTCAGAATTTTCGGATATTTTTTCAGGATAATGCATGTTTTTATTTTGGTAACACGTCAACGTAGAAAAGTATGCATACTTATGATCTTGGAAAATCTATCAATTTAATACCAGTTCCAAAATCCAAATTCGCACTAATGATTTATTATTATTCACTTGTATATGCAATATGTGCAAATAAAATATATTTGTATGGATTTTGTTAATGGTAAAATAAAATTTATTACTTTGATAATATTTACATAACAGTATTCTATTTATACAATAATACAAGGTATATTATTCCTTTGGGCAGGCAGTCGAAATAGAATGATTTTGTTGAAACTTCTTTCTTTTATACCATGATGGAGATACCCCCTCTTTCACTCCTAGATAGATATCCTCATCAGGTCCGCATTCTATATATAATTTTGTATTCTAACACCTCCCCTCAAAATTATATTTATTATACTATTTGCAGTCCATCCATTCCAATTCTCCTCAGACACTCTTCGTGTTTATTTCTAGTCAAACCTTTAGTAAGCATATCTGCTGGCATCTGTTCGCTGCATAGAAATTGAATATTAATTTTCTTATTAATATATTCATCACGTACCTTGTGATATTTTAATCCGATATGCTTCGTTCGTGGATGGAACCTATTGTTTTTTACAAGTTGTATAGCACTCTGGCTGTCATTATATATTGTAACCGTTTCACTTCCTATATCTAGAGTCTTCAATAATTCGTTCAAATATATAGCTTCCCTTGTTGCCTCACTCAAAGCTATATATTCAGCTTCCGTTGTTGATTGAGCTACTATTTTCTGTTTTCGCGCTTCCCAACTGATAGGCGCACCTGCAAATATGAAGCAAAATCCCGAATATGATTTATAGTCAACTATGTTACCTCCCCAATCTGCGTCTGCAACTCCAAATAAATTTTGATTTGTTTTCTTATATTTCAACCCATAATTCAATGTACCTTTCAGGTACCGTAATACTCTCTTTGCTGCGTTCCAATGTGTTGTATCGTAATTCGTATTAAATTGACTTAAATAATTTACTGCATAGGCAATATCTGGTCTTGTAGTTACTGCCAAATACATTAATGCCCCTATTAAAGATTGATAAGGATACTTTTGCATGATATATTCATTGGGTTCCTTAGGTTTAATCAGTTGGAGTCTAACCTCGCATGGTGTTGATACTATTTTACAATTTTCCATATTGAAACGATTTAGTATATTTTCTGCATAAGAACGTTGTTTTAAATATACAAATCCATTTTCCTGTTTGAATTCAATTCCAAGACATCTATCTACTTTGCCTAAGTCTCTCATCTCAAAACATTCAGATAAAGATAGTTTAATTTCATTTAACCAATCTTTATCATTTGATGCAATTAATAAATCATCAACATAAATAACTATCAATGTATGTTTTCCTGATTTATTGCACATAAACAAACATGGGTCTTGCGACATTGCTTTGAATCCCATTGTCTGCAATTTTGTTACAAATTTTTTGTGCCATTGAATACCTGATTGACGTAATCCATATAGTGCTTTCTTCAATAAACATACGGGATCTGGGCTTTTCTCAATATTTTTCAGCCAGGTCTTCGCTGTATCTCTAATTTTCTCAGTAGCCGGTTTTTGAATAGTACCCAATGGTTTCTTATTCACAATTTTATATAATACTTCATGTAATTGTTCTGGCAGATTCATGTAGACTTTTTCTTCAAGTTCTCCATTTAAATATGCAGTTACGACATCCATTTGATGAATTTCTAAACCCATTTCCGCAGATAATGCTGCCAATAGTCTAATAGAAGTTGATCGTGCCACCGGAGAATATGTCTCACAAAAATCTTCACCATATTTTTGTGAACATCCTTTTGCAACTAACCGCACCTTTTTTCTATTAGGTTCTCCATCTAATTTTGTTGTAAAAACAAATCTGTTTCCAATAACTTTCTTTTGTGTGGGTCGCTCAACTATATCCCATGACATATTTTTGATTTGCGCAAGGTACTCGTCTTCTAACGCTTTCCTCCATTCGTCAGCATCACCTAGCTGACTAGCTTGTTCCCAAGTCGTAATATTAATTTTGGATATATTAAAAGCATTTTCAAATATTTCACATTTTTCACTAATCACATTGTTTTCGTTTGAAATCTCTTTATCAACCTCCCCTTCTCCAGAGGATTCTTCGATCATCTCTTTATTTATTTGATATTCTTTTCGCGGCCTTCCCGCATGACCTGTCCGAATAATCCTAGGACGCCCTTTTCCACGTTTTGATTGCTGCTGTGTTGGTCTTTCATGGTTTGTATTTTGCTCGACATTTCCTAATTTTAAATATACATCATAACCATTTTCACTATATATCTCACTATATTCATTATTAAATCCAGAATAGTTCAAGAATCTAACGTCTCTGCTCTCAATTATCTTATTGCTTCCCGGTATATATATTCGATAAGCCTTAGCATTATTCGAATAACCAACAAAGATTCCAGGTTTAGATCTCGAATCAAATTTTCCTTTGATATTACCATTTTTAATCAAAACATATGCTTTTGATCCAAATATTTGTAAATAACCTAAATTTGGAATTTTTCCAGTCCATACCGTATATGGTATACATCCATCTAGTGCACTTGTTGGACATCTGTTTCTAGTGTAATTGGCATTGCAAACAGCCTCAGCCCAAAACCGTTGTGGTGCCCCCGCTTGCTTTAACATGCAACGTGCCATTTCTATCAATGTCCGGTTCTTCCTTTCGGCTACACCATTTTGTTGAGGCGTATACGGTGAAGTAAGCCGTCTTTTGATACCATTATTATTTAAAAAATTATTGAATTCATTATTACAATATTCTCTGCCATTATCTGTCTGCAAAGCTTTAATCTTGTGTCCAGTTTTGTTTTCTACATACATTTTATATTGTTTAAATGCACTCAGTACTTCGGATTTACACTTTATGAAATATACTTCACACCAACGCGATGCATCATCAATAAACGTTACAAAATATTTCATACCTGAGAATGAAGGAGCTCTCATTGGCCCACATACATCACTGTGTATAATTTCTAATAAATTCTTCGTACGAATCTCCTTCGATTTTGGAAAGGGTAGTCTCGTTTGTTTTTCACTAACACAGATTTCACAATTTGTTAACCTTTTATTAATATTTACATTTAAACCGTGCACTCTTTTATTTTTAATCATTGCTTTAATGTCATATTCATTCAAGTGCCCTAACTTTTTGTGCCACACATCAATACTCTTTGTATTTTCACTCACACTTTTCGCTGCATTCACTTTTTCATTAATATAATATAAATCACCTCGACGACGTGCTTTCAATTCAACCTTGCCTTCTTTA